TAATTTAAGTTTTACGCATGTATTAACGCCTCTATTTCTCCGTGTTGTAAACTGGGTAAAACTACACTAACACCAACTAAATGGCATTTATCTGTTCTATTTTCCGTCTCAGAACACTGCTAGTTTAATGGCTAAATGTAAGTAAGAATGAGTACTCTGTATGTGGGCTCGATCAAAAGGTAAACATGCGCTAACACGGACATGTTAGCAAAACACGGGAAAAATTAAGTTGAATTAATGTTTAATGTTTTTCTCGTTTCTTGTGATGCAACACTGACATTTCCCCTTTGTGGGTGAATAAAAGTTGTGTTTTTTATTAATTGTTTTTAGCGTAGAATTGTTACTTAAACTTTATACACGGCGCTGAAATGGACACGCTAACTGTACTGCTACTGTATAATTACCGCATTGTGTGTAAAGACATTGATATTGTCAGGTTTACGTAGTTCTGGTGAAACCGGCCGACGGCAGAAGAAGGAGATGTGACGAAAACCCCGCCCCCCGCTCCATCCCGCCCAAATAAGGTGCAGGGGGGAGTTTTTCCATTTTCGACGCAGAATTAAACTCAGAAATAAGAAAGTACCAGAAGTGAATTTGTGAAAGAATGAACAACCACAGTTTTTTTTTAAGAAACCACTTTTTGTAAACAGATGAACAGAAGCTAACGTGTAAAGATAATCCTCTCCCTCGTACACACCGACCACCGGGGACTACAAACAAGATGGCCGCCGCAGAGACAGAAGTGAAGCCACGACGTCGCGGATGGAGGAAAGACTGCTTTGGAAAGATAATCATTTGACAGATTTAAACGTGTAGAGATCGCAGCGGATCGATAGAAGTGCATATGACAGGTTTTGTGGACTTTGCTTTACCAGGTTTTGGCAATTTGTGTGGAAGATTTAAAGATGACATCCGAAGTTAGCTAAGTCCCTTGACGCCGGAGGACACAGTGATCAATTATCGTTTTAATTCTGATAAATGGTTTGATAATACTGTACATACCACGATAACGTTCATGTATTTATTATCTGGCCTCAATTAAAGGCGTCGAAATACTTTACTCTAATTAATTGAACCATTGACATAAATTATGTTTTGACTGAAAAATATAAAAAATATTGACTTTATTTTGTGGTCATATAATCTATAATGTTTGAATTAAATCCCAAAACTGGAAAACTGTTTTCATCAACTGTTTATCCCAATAGAAAGATTCATATTAGTAAATCTGAAAAAGCTGATTTAAATGATGTGACAGACGTCAAAACGCATGTGAAAAGATGGAACTAGATGGATGTAATATTCTTTATTGTGTACAGTAGTTCCATGTCTCCATTTGTTTTTAAAAGTTACGTACCCCGGCTTTACTTGCTAACCAATGTCCAAAGTTACTAGTATCAGTAGTAGTACTAATACACTAATACTTTGTTATGTACTAGACGCCATTTTGAATATTGTTTTACCGTTCAAAACATTAAAGTTTGTCCAAAGGTTGTGTCTGTCAAAACACATGATTCACAGACTTCCCATTTACCCCGTGTGCGTGTAACCGTTTTGGCGTCACTTCGGGTTGGGCGGCCATCTTGCTGTTGTCTGTGCCTGACTCGAGTGCTGCTACTAACATGGAAGACCAGCGAGAGACGAAATAGCTCAGGTAATATCTCCACTATCAATATTTATTATATATATATTTTTTAAAAACATCAAGGAAACAAACCCACAAAGTAAAAACACCCCAAATATATGCTTTAGCTTGTTCTTAACATTTCTACTTAGGCAACTAATCAACATTTATAGAAAGGACTTTGGCGCTCCATAGAAACCACCACTTCTACAGTTGTATCTCAAGAAAATAAAAGTTTAAACACTCGGAAAAAAAGCCACACTTTAAATCAAACCAATGCATACGATTCATAGAGAAATTCCCCTCGAATGTAACGTCTGTGAGCTGTTATCTTAATACTCTTTTTCTGGATAGTACTACACACTATATATTATAACAAATATGATATTTTTCATATATTTTTTTAACTAGAAAAGTAACCGTTTGGTGTATGATACTTCACTTCAAATGGCATGTTTATATTTAACAATATGTAACTATACACAGTTGTTCTTTTTTCTTTACAAATCTAAGTATATAAAGAGTATTTGGATTCACAAATGTAGCTACGGTCGAAGCATCAGAATGACATCAGAAACACTGGGACCGGATGACGCAGCCGTACACAAGCACCACATGTGGGTTCTTCCGCTGCAGAAACTAGTCCCTCCGCGTACGCTGCGTCGGCACAAACCGCGGCTTCGAGACACTTTTTCAAGGGAAGCAAAAGTCGTATCGGTAAAATTTATCTTGGAAGCTGGGAATTTGTAGCTTATTTAAGAACTTTACCTGATTTTACTGTGTTAAAATTGTGTTTGGAAGCGAGTTTTCACAACTTTAAGAGACCGGTGTGAATGGGAGCACGGTAAGCTAGCACAAGTTAGCCCGGCTTAGCCACTTTAGCACGATTTATTTATCTATTTAATATAGACACAACAGTTACATTAACCAGAAGCACTGCTTTTTGTTATAACAAGGTCAAGTTATAACACCGCACTTTAGCATTAAAACTCCCGTTAATACTTTTCAAAAACGTGGGAAGTGAACGATTTATAACATCTAAGGCTGTGTTTACAACATATCTACACTGTTCTCAAATACATAGAACTAGAATTTTTATCGGTTCTACTCCATATTTCTAGTGAATACAGTTCCACAAGCTTTGGGAACTATTTCAACGTTCCTCAGGTAAACATACTAATATCTTCTAACATTGCACCTTTACAGGAAAAAGCTGTATCTATTGTAATCTAGAAAATGTAATATACTACACTACTACTATACACTTACAGAGACTACTTTATTTACAGTTTAGGAAGTAAACTTTGTCGTCGAAGCTTCGATGAGGTTTTTAGTAGCTAACTACAGTAGCTGGTAGCTTAATCTTATTGTATATCTTAGTAAAAACGCATAGAAAATGTACATAATCCGCACATAGAGAATAATGCCACACGGTTTCCTGATGTTTACAACTAAGTTAGCGATAGCATTGAACATTAGCTTATTCCTTGCGTCTGCTTGTAAACACGATTGCCTCCCTGAAAAAGTGCCACATTTTTAAGGACAATTATCGGCGAGAGTTGTGCCGAAGCAACGTACACATTTTCTGATTTAAAAAAAAGAAACGGATCATTTGCATTTTTTCTCTCTACGCTCAGAAAGAACCGATGGACTTCGATGGGTCAGGCGGTATGACGAACGTGTTTTTTTGTCTTTTTCGAGGATTAGTTGATAAAATAGCGTAAAGGCAGCCTTATCTTTAAAATGTCAAAAGTCCTGGCTAATGAGCTATAACAACGATAATAATAAGAATGCGTCTTCCTAAAAATGTCCCTACCACGTGTGACATCAAGTCTGTTTAGTTCAGCAGAGTGCATAGATTATTTCAGTGGACAGACCATTCCTTAAACTGTGGTTCTTCATGCCTCTTCTGCCTCCTAGTTGGAAGTTGGCGTCAAAACCTGAAACTCCGCCCCGCCATCATGACTTTAACTATTATCAATATATTTTTTCGACGCGCCTGCTTTTGTTTTTTGTCTTTTTTTACAACTTTTCTTCTTTTTTTAATCGTAGGCCTTGGCGAATCACTTGTGAGACTCTCCGAAACTAACCTACAGCTACGAAAACGCTAAAGCCTGCATATGATCACCGCATGGGAGGAAAAAATGGCCGACTTTTTACCCCATAGAGACTTCACAACAGTAAGTTGCCATGATATATACTCTTCGTAATATATGAGAAGCTGTCTACAGAGATGAACAGAGGTCGCGTGGGTAGGAGCCCTGAATCAGTCTTTTTTTATCAACCTGAAATAAATGATCAAAAAGTAGTGAGGTGAGTTTCTGTACAGTATATTAACAGTACCAACTTGTACAGGTCAGGAGGAGATCGTTCTTGACTGTTCGTGAAGCTACCACCTCAGCAGTCGTCTTACCCTGAACTTTCAAAACCATTTGTGCTTCACCCAAAAAATGTCCCTCTGCGCTGCCTCAGGGGGAACAGTTCCGTTTCAGGGGCAGTTACTTCCACACAATGCGTTGTCCCCACAGTCCACTGACGTCGTGAAGCCCCGGTGTGAGCGGAAAGGGGGCGGGGGAGTGGGAACACTGGAGGTCCCGCAAAGATCGGATGGTGTGAACAGAAACTGGGTCATGTCGATACACGTCCACCAAGTCCCGCTGTCTCCTGATCAAAGAGCACTGTGTTCAAATCATACTTTGGTTCAAGTTAGAAGAAGAAGGAAAGAAAAAAAAAAATCAATATTCATAAACTTTGACACCCACAGCACGTTTCGCTAATTAGCAAGTCTTTCCCAGCGGCTGCGGGTGAGGAGGCCAAAGTCTTCCTGAAGTCTCCATGTCGGCAGGGGTAAAAGTATGGATCTGCTTGGGTTGGTTTGCACAGAGGGTGAGTCCCGAGGGAAGGGGGAGCAGTTCACACAGTAAACACATGATCACATGTTACAGTACAGTTCAGGGACATACTCGGAGAGGGTCTGCCCTCCCCCTCTACTCCCTGACATCACCACAGCCCATAGAATAGATATGTATATATATTTATATACAGAAAATGAATACATATTGGACACCCTAGACATTAAGTACATTCAAAGAACTGAACCAACATTCTTGTTTAAAACACATTACAGTGACTCTCCTGATAAAAAAGAATTAAGGTTTTGCTTCCACCAAATCTTAAAAACTCCTTAGTGCCGCACACAACAAAACACACAGAAATGGTACATATTCTCAGAATACATTGACAAATAAATCGACATTTTCAGCCCTCGTTCTTTGTTACCGCTGGATGGGCACTAACGTTTTCTATAATGTTTTCTCTAGAGATAGTCTGTTTGCCTCAGGCTTGTGTTTTGGTTATGCACCTGCGATGTAGTACGATGGGATTACTGGAGTATAATTCAATTTGTTACATGGACGATGAGGAGTTATTCTCGTGCATAGCGCCGCTGCTTGGTCTTTTTCTGGCGGCACACAGTGACACAAAAGGCTTGGGCTCTGGAGTTGGCAGGTGAGTAAAACCGGCGGCGTTTTTTCAGTCTTTTTGAGTCTATTTTTCATGTTTTTGACGCCATTTTCTTAACTAGTCCTCAGTCAGAGCTGGGGCTTGGAGAGGGGCAAGAGCGAGGAGAGGGTCGCCCCGCGCTCCCCAACGCTGTAAACCGGACCCACGCAGAGGCCCAAGGAGGCTGGGGAGGGGGCAGTCCAGTGGTGGAAGTGACATCAGGACAGAATCCACGCGGGACCCTGCTAACAGTATTCTGCTGCGGCCGCTGACATCGCGCCCACATGGAAGAACTAGGAACCCAAGCGACGCCAGCGGCCGCCACGAAGGAAGGAAGCAAGGGGGGGGAGAAGGACGCGAGGAGGGAGGGTGGAAGAACGGCGGAAGAAGAGCCCGGATCAGACGTTTTTCCGCTTGTGTTTTTGCTTTTATTTTTTTAGTTCAAATCAATGTGCCTTGGAGAAACGTGGGCCGGGGGAGTGTGTACCCTCCTCGTCCTTCCCACCAACTTTAGATCAGCATCAAGAAGGGCCAACTGTTCGTCTCCCTTTACCAAAAACATAAAAACAGATTTGTACATATATACTGCTTTATATACACTCGTTTGTCTTTTTTTTTTTACCATGTAGATCACAAAAGTATAGAAAAATAAAATGTTTTGTAATAACGCAACGCTTTCTCTTTCTCTTGTTCTTTTTTCTACTCAGAAGGTGGTCCCAGGTGGAAACTGGCTCACTCCGGTGGGTAAGTTTTTTTGCGGTGGCGCCCGAATGAATGTCCGCCTCGCCTTCCCTCGTCCAGCCTCAGTAGTAGAGGGAGTCTTCTGTGATATTTTTCCTAAAGCTAGTTCTCCTCTCGCCTTTTCACCGGTCTCATCTGTGACGTCCATCAATACTGAGTACAGCTCCTCCTTTATTTACTGCAACAGGGAGAGAGAAGGAAGAAAGAGTTACTACGCAAGACGTGGAAAGACATCCGACATCCAGGCATGCTCATGGTGCACGAGGATCAATATGTTCTGAATACACACGGCTCGGATCAAAGGACTAATATCAAAGGAAAAGTCAAAAACAAAACAGATGTTCTTATTACATGGACATAAATACTTTTCTGGTGAAAGCGCCACCACCTGTGATTTTATGAGACAGTTTGTAATCTGTAAATATCGGTTGATTGTTTTGATCAATCGTTGTCAAATTGTCAATCTACAGTTTTCTTCTTCAGTGAGATGGCTGGGCCGTACAAAAATACATGTGTGGGTCTTTCTTATGAAGGGTTCGTAGCTTAAACATGAATACGGTTTCGAACATCAAGTGGGGAACTCTTCAAACCAGAAAAGTGGCACAATCAATAGGCAATTGTATTCCCAGTTAATTTCAGAAAGATCATTTCCAGAAACACGTGACTTTGCAAGTGTGTCAACTATCTCTGTGTGGAATGGGAGCAGAACTGGGATGAGTGGAATCTCCTGGTTCCAAATGTCAGTCTTCCGCCACCTTCGAGGTGTGGCGACGTCTTCCAATGACCTTCGTCTTCCTCCCAGAGCAACATGAACAGGTGTATCCTCAGAACACACTGTTGGACTTGCCCCAATGCATTTAAGCACTGGGAAATACATATAACACATGTCCTGATCTCGAGATGTTCAAGTTCTTACCTCGGACAGAGTCTACACCCAAAACATGTCAGTTACTTGCTTATAACTTAAAAACATTCAGATTATCATGTCCCGTCTACAACTTCTCCAAAACCAATATACAGTCATAAAAACATTTGTCAGGACTATTGAAGAACCTTATGAACCCATGTGTTTAAGTACCAGTTATATTTTCACAAACATACAATTTTGACCCTTTCAATTCCAAATGTGGACTAGAATTGAAATTAAACTTTGTATGAAATTATAAACGCTTTTAGACACTTTTGTCTCCCATTGAAAGTGAACACAATACTCAAAGCTTTGCTAATGGTTACTTGTTGTTGAATTAGCTTTCATGGGTAAATCTGGTCTGATTAAATGGAAACAGGTTGACCAATGACCACTTTACAATTTAATCAAACACATAATTATAGTTTCACCACGATTGGAGACCCTCTGGTGGCTTTGGGGTCCAACACAACTGTCTGCTTATGAGGGCTGGCCCTGCATGGAAAGAACCAGCCTCTGCACTTTCTGAATGCGATAATCCACCTGGGAATAAAAAACTCCTCCTATAGACCTTTAACCATAATATCTTTTAAGTTGCTTGAAACCATCGCTGCTTTTGTGGTAGTTTTTGAGTTACGCTGTCATCTACACCTTACTTGTCACTTTGCCTTACCCCTAAACTGATCTACTCTTCACAGATCATGTCTTTTTTGGTACTCCCTAAAGCAATAAAGCATTTGTCGTAGAGTCGGGCTGCGCAGCTGTTGGGCCTCAGTGTCGTCACCGTGAGACGACGGAAAAAACTGCTTTAAAAGTCTCTTCGTTTGACAGTTTGGGAACAAGCACTTTCTGGTTCCTCTCAGTCAGACACATGGAGAGGTGATGGGATAGGAGAGGGAGGGGCGCCATGTCAGAAAGACCGTCCCGGGACCCGCCATCACCACAGATGCTGCCTAATGCGGCCTGATACCGGCTGTGCGTCTCCGAGCAACAACCGACAAAAGAAATTAACAGAATCTGGAAAGACGAAGCTCATTTCCAAAAAAAGAGAGCGAGAAAGAGAAAGCTCAGAGTACGTCTATGGCACAGCTGTGGAACTTCAGATGAGAGAGGGCTGTATCCCTCCAGAATCAACTCTTGTTCAAATCAATACGCAGACAATTAGTGACAATTTGCTGTTTATATTTGACGTTAGCTGAAAATGTAATTATATTTTTAGATCTGACCTGAATTTTCCTTGATGGGGAATGTAGCCAAACACCACTTTAGAAAGTTGAATAGTTGTCAATAGCCATGTCGTACTGGTGTATCCTTTTGGCTAGCTTTAAGGCTAATATTAAGGATGCATTAAATGTATAGTTTTTGTAGTTTATAGCCCGTTTCTGACTCATTATTCCGGATACCAAGATTGAACCAATGGAAGAATCTAGGTCTAGAATTTGTTGGTTCGTTTCAAGAAGTTTTTGATGTAATTTTGGGCAGATATTCACTTAATATACAATGTCCCCAATGTTGTGCTTGAAAGTTTAACACATTTTTGGCTCATATTTCAGAGAATAAGAAAGATAATGCAATAGATAATTCAATTTTTTTCCTGCTCATTGTTGGTGCGTGTGTGAAGCCATTTATTGTCAAACATATTTTCTATTTTTAAATGATGTTGACAACAAAAGAAGTCTCCATCTCCCAGTTCTCAGGAGCTTGGAGTCCGTTGTGGCTGAGGTACTTTATCCTCTCAAAAGACTCCAGAGAAACCAGAGAGAGAGACAAGAGAGGGACCAGAGAGAGACAAGAGAGGGACCAGAGGGAGAGACAAGAGAGGGGACCAGAGGGAGAGACAAGAGAGGGACCAGAGGGACCAGAGGGAGAGACAAGAGAGGGACCAGAGAGAGACAAGAGAGGGGACCAGAGGGAGGACCCAGGAGTGACCAGAGAGAAAAGAGATAGACAAGAGGGGGAGACCAGCGAGACTGGAGAGAGGGACCAGAGAGGGACAAGAGGGAGAGTAGAGAGAGACCAGGAGGAGTGACCAGAGAGAGAGACCAGGAGGAGTGACCAGAGAGAGCAGAGAGAGAGACCAGGAGTGACCAGAGAGAGAAACCAGGAGGAGTGACCAGAGGGAGAGCAGAGAGTGACCAGAGAGACTATACATAGACAAGAGAGAATAAACAGAGAGAGACAAGAAAGTAAGACCCGAACACGAACAGAGAGAGACTAGAACGAGTCCTCTGAACTAATCACTGCGATGCACACGAGCCACAGTAAAGTGGTGCAAGTACAGAACATTAGACACAATAAAATCTGTTTAAGTTTGTGTGAGAGACCTCTGTATTTGACTTCACACAACAACGAGCGGAGGAAAAACAAGTGTTTGCGTTATCATTCATAATCTAAAAAATCCGTCCCAAGCATTGAAATCTCTGGCTGGATGTGTAAACATTCAAGCCCAACTGGAGTCCCTGCAGTGAGGGCCCCTGGGCGTCCTGTCGGGCCCTTGTTTGCTTCTGCCGCAGACTTCTCTTCGCTACTATCTCCCGTCCATTATTCTGAGTCCATCCTTCCCTGCGCAGTGGAATGGTGGCTCAGATTTCACAGGGGAGGCTTTCGTGATCTCAGCGGGGGGCCACACAATGAGACGTATGGAATATTAAGGTGAGGAGGACATATGCGCCGCTGTAAATCACCGCGCTCTCCGGAGGCTCCTCTTTGACCAGATTTCTCGTCCTTTTCCAATGCTGCTGTTACCCGTATATCCGTTAGAATTCTGTAACCCACACATGCAGCATTTGTGTGTAGGTTAGGAGGCTTATCATGTATCTATTTAAACAAGAAATATTTGTAATTTTAGGTCCTGAGCAACTGAATAGTTTTGGTCCAATCTGTTTCCCAACCTTTTTTTCCCTACTTTTTAATCTTATTCTCACATTCATTGTCTGTTTTTTAGAGAAAAGGTGATTATACTTTTAGCCGTGCTTGTCATTACTCTACTCGGTTCTACTCAGCCCCAATTGTGAACTATACCGTCGGTCCTGTTTAACCGGCACCAAACCAGGCCAGAGTGCTGCTCGAAGCAATGGTAACCAAGGAATTTACACAGATACTGTTTTTTGTGGGTAAGTTGCTATGATACCAGTACCAGATACAAAGCTAATGGAAACACACCCAGGTAGGGTAGAGTAGGGCCCAAGTAGGCTCTAGAAGGCACTGTGATGGAAAGTAATCGATCACTCAAGGTCAAAAACTCGAAAATATAAACTTTTCTTTCACTTAAAATGTGATAATAATAACTTCAATATTTTTGCATATTTATAAACTTAATACATTTATTCCAATCCATCCACTGAAAAAATCTCTTCCATCATCACCACTTGTAAATGTAGCTATGGCTCATTATTTGGCCTGGACTGAACAAACAAGACCACAACACGCCGTCTTAATCGGTTTTGAAAACATCTTTTACATACTCATACATGAGCCGTGTGATTGGCTGGGAGTGAGATGCATGCTCTAGAGATGGAATAAGCTGTTTTGAAAAGGAGGCACTAAACATTGGTTAGACGGATTTGACTACATAGTTCTTATTTGTGGTTCAGGTACCCCAGCTTTAGTACTGCACCAAATCTAAAGCCTGAGTACATATGTTTGATCTCCCTTGCTCTGTGTGCTACACCGATGTAAAATACAGAATGCATGATACAAACCGCTGAAGACGCCGCCATAAAACTGAAACATATGGTGTTTCTGAACCACAGCCTCTCCGCTCCTGAGCCTCATTCGCGGGTGTTATGAGCTCCCGCTGTCTCCCTCTCTCCTTTCTCCTCCCTCCACAAAATAAAAAAAAAATCTTCGTATTTTTTCCCCTCTTTGCCACCATCTTAAAAAGTCCAGAAAACCGCGAGGGGCAAGAGAACGCTTTAGAAGAAGAGACTTCAAACAAGGCGAGATCTCTCAGAGCAGATCACAGCACAACACACCACCCCAATTCCAAACCGTGTGTTCGTATAACTTTATTCTGACACTCAAAAAGCAAATACTTATTTATATATGTCACATTTTTGACAACCAATGAAGAAATGATAAAAAATAAGAACAGTTGTTATACTTTCTATCAATAGCCCTGTTTCCACCGGCCCTAATCGGCTCTACTCTACCCAGATTGGTAGTGTTTCGACTGCCCCAGTTTTGATGCCTGCTTGGGCATGGTTCTAACCAGGCCGAGCTGGTTCTATCGAGCTAAAACTAGAAACTTACTGCTAGAGATTGGCCAGAGGGATGCTAGAAGCTACGGCTACCAAGGAATTACCCTGAATAATGGTTTGTTATAGACAGCTTGCTACCAGAAACTAAAGTGTGACATAAACTTAACCGGGTAGAGTGGAGCAGGGCCAAGTAGCGCTGGTGGAAACGGTGCTAATGACATAAAACCAAGACAATATACGACTTTCATTATAGAAATTACACAAAGAATTGAAAATGCACAATTCACTTCATAGGAATACATATAAAACAGTTACTCAGCGGTATAATGTGAATGAGTATATACATGTATCATATATTTACAGTTTTTTTTGCTTAAGTTTTCTTTTGTACAAATCTTTTTTTCTTAGTTTTCCGCTTCGGCGATTGCAAATCCGGGCTCGGTGACAATGTTACGCGTCATCACGAAGTCGTCTGAGGTCTAGTTGCATATTGTTTAAGCTGGTTATAGACAAAAAAGCCAACTAAATTAATAATGATTTATCTGAAAAGTTTTTTTTTTCCATCCTAATCTAAAATCACACTAGAAATCACAACATACGAAACACCACAATTAAGTATTTACAAGTTTAAGCCCGGATCAGCGATCGTCCCCATGCGTAAAAACTGTTTTTAAACTGTAAACTGTTGACAAACCCGTGCAGATCGACGCAACAGTGCCCCCTATGGTCCTGGTTAAAACATCACAATAAACACATTTTGATCGTTGTTCAGAAAGCACAGGAATTTGCTATTGGTGAATAAGCTTTGGGCGAGCTAGCAGGTTAGCTCTGTCCATCTATAGAATACAGGATGAGGTTTTGGATTGTTCAGTAGAATGAAAACACACTTCTCAATGTGTTCAAACTCCGATTAATAGTCCAACATTTGCCTCTATGTTGACATTTTAAACTATAACTAATCAATATAAAAAGGTGTTGAGTGAGACAAAGTGGCGTGTTTGTAATGCAATTAGCTTTAGGAGTGTAGCATTTTTACAGCATCACTTAAATAGCCACATATAGAGCAGGCTAATTAGCTTCCTGTTAGCATTAGTACCTCTTTCAAACCTCTCTGACTTTAAAAATGAAATTGTATGTACTTCAATTATTTTGTCTCTGAATTAAGCCCGGTGCCGTCGATGTTTCAGGTTCAGGTACACAAAATCCTTTAAACAATTTTAGAAATAATTTTATGGTTAATGCTACGGATGTTAGCTTCACCAAACACGCAAGTAGTTTAAACTTAACCTTCACGTTTATTACGCTATCTCTGTCATTAACTCCCACCAAAGTCTGTGATGTTTTGACCAGGGCCGAGCTAAAGTCGCGCACATTCGTTAGCTTGAGCCGCTTAAACGCTGATCTGTTTTCTCCTTGCACGCCGTAAACTCACATTCAAATGCATATATAGTGATATTCAGAGCACGGAGGCACGCACATTCAAAACAAACAGGTCATACCAGCCTACGCGCGGACCGACCCAGCGCCGCCTCCGCCTGGACCGACCCAGCGCCGCCTCCGCACGGACCGACCCAGCGCCGCCTCCGCACGGACCGACCCAGCGCCGCCTCCGCACGGACCGACCCAGCGCCGCCTCCGCACGGACCGACCCAGCGCCGCCTCCGCACGGACCGACCCAGCGCCGCCTACGCGCGGACCGACCCAGCGCCGCCTACCCACGGACCGACCCAGCGCCGCCTCCGCACGGACCGACCCAGCGCCACCTCCGCGTCCCTCGTAAACGCTTTACTTAGTGGGTTTAATCTACAAAACCCCTAATGGTGCATATGTCACTATTGTACAAAAGGAAGAACAATGTTTCCACGTAGGTTTCTTTGAGTTACAAGTGTAAAATCATATTGTGACATTTCAAATGATCAAGGCAATTTAGAGCAACTGTTTGGTCTTCTTGGCTTTTAAATAATCCGTTGCAAATCATTATCAATGGATGTATTCAGTTTTTTAAAATGAGTGGGAACTGTCTACATATTGGAGCCAAAGCCAGAAGGAGTGAATCTTTGCTAATTTGCTTAAGCAAGCTAACAGGTTAGCTCTGGTCAACTCTATATTAGGCACTGTTTCCACCAGTCCTACTTAGCCCTTTCTACCCTGATTGGGAGAGAATAATGGAAACACTGTCTAGTCGAGTAGAGTAGAGTAGGGCCAAGTAGGGCTGGTTGAAAAAGGGCTTTACTGTACGCTCTCTACCAAAGATTTGATTTATATTCTTAGTGAATTTCAGACGAAAGCAAAGTTCAGAAATTGCTTCACAAATTTTAACACTTTTTTTTTTTTTTACTGCAATAGCAATATTTTGGTTTAAAATCACATCCCACCTGTTTTAACCAACACCAAACGTTGACGAATTGATTTTCTGGCTTCACTTTGCCGCGGTCATTTGCCTCTTCATTTGCCTCTTCAACTATCGACATTCTCACATTGCATAAACTCGCACATTTTTTAAATATACAACATGGATTTATATTTTCTTCAACATCTTGAACTAAACCAGCTGTATTTGATAATCTTAATATAAATATTTCAAAGTTTGCAAGAAAGGACATAAAAAACAGAACTCTAAAATAAAGTGCACAAATGTTTTTTTCATCTTTTGAGTCCACAAACAACAAGTTTAAATGTAAAAATAAATACTGGCATAACTGGAGATGCTAGCTGCGCCGAGATGTAAACAGCTAACGTTAGCTACACATCACTTTTAGCTCGGGTTTTGCATGGAGTTGAACGCTGCGCTGCTTCTCTATCTATTCTGTGCGTAACTACAGCATATATTTAGTACTTTTGAATTATTAAGTCAGATTTTAAAGTTTTATTGGACCTCCACGACAACGTAATAAGTCAGAAAGCTGGCTGTGTGTTTGAGTTTGTTAGCGTCTTTTTGTCGCCTCAGGATTCCCCCAGATGAGCTGGAGTAAGTGTGTGTGGAGAGGGAAGTCTGGGCGTCTCTGTGTAAACTGCTGCCTCCGTGACCCGGCAATGGATACAGCGGAAGAAAAAGCATGCTTTTGACAGCATTTCAGAACGCCCAAAGCACAAAACAACAAAAAGTAAACAAATAATGAAAAATAGCTCGAGCAGCAGCTTGATCAAAATACTTTTTACTGAATATTGTATTTAGCCGTTAGCATCTAAATTATGAGGCAAACTTAAAACGCAATAACCTAATCTTCAAATCTATAGGCTTTAATATAAAATGGGTCAACTTTTCAACATAATTGAACTTTAACTGTGATCAGATTTTATATTCATATTTCATCGGCAATTTAAAGATTTTACTTTTGGTGTAAGAATTGTTTTTCTCACTCCCTTCCTACACGCAAAAAACACATTGTTTCTTATCATTACTTTAACTGTAAATTGTAAATATCTATTTAATGTTTCAAATGTTTTTAAATGTTCATATAGAGTGCTCGGACTAGCGCAGAGAGATAAGAGGGACAAATGTCAGAGGAATCAAACAAAAACGTTGCAGCATTAGAGGAACCGTACAGGGTTTCTCTTTCAATTACACTTTTGAATGGCATTTCTTAAAACACAGGAGTAAATGCAAAGAGTAAACCATGTGTAATGTGCAGAAAACAAGGCCGTGACCAAAAACAAACATTATTCAGGGTTTGATCAGTGCATGCGTCCAAACCACAGCTTTCACCGCGAGTGTCAGAACAGACTCAACACTTCAGAGAAACCAGAGGCCGATGGAGCAGCGCCACGTCCGTCCAGAACAGCCCGAGGCACGTTCGTTTAATGCTCTAGTTTGTGGTCTTTCTTTGGGGAGTGTCTCGATTGTGTTCTGGCCAGACGGGGGCGCTGTTCTCGCCTCGTACGTGCATCATGCGGCAGGAAGATCACATTGGTTTTTGGTGACACAGCACCGAATACAGCAGTCAGTCCATGGCAACTCAGTCTCAGGAAGAAGAGGCAGGGATACATGGAATAACAGACCAGTGCGGAAGTTTGGAGAAAAGATTACTTTGGATTTAGACCCTAAATCTAGAGCAGTTACCTTTTTTTTTAAATTTGGTTTTCTAACCACGTGAACTCACAACTGCTGATGTGTAATCACAGAGATTTCAAATCTGTTGTAGGTCTGAGGGGCTCAAAAGTCGTGCATGCACTGTAAAATACAGTTGCAATGAGGGGAAGGAGCAGGACTGAAGACTGCGGGAAGACCAGAGAGAGAGACCAGAGAGAGACCAGAGGGAGACCATAGAGGGGCCAGAGAAAGACCAGAGAGAGACCAGAGAGAGACCAGAAGGAGACCAGAGAGAGACCAGAGGGAGACCAGAGAAGGGCCAGAGAAAGACCAGAGAGAGACCAGAGGGAGACCAGAGAGGGGCCAGAGAAAGACCAGAGAGAGACCAGAGGGGGGCCAGAGAAAGACCAGAGAGAGACCAGAGGAATTCAAGAGAGTAAGAACAGAGAAAGAACCAGAAAGAGAGAGAGAGAGCAAAGAGTAAGACCAGAAAAAGACCAGAGAGAGACCAGAGAGTAGGAACAGAGAAAGACCAGAGAAAGACCTGAGAGAGACCAGAGAGAGACCAGAGAGTAGGAACAGAGAAAGACCAGAAATAGAGACCAGAAGGAGAGACCAGAGAGAGACCTTGCACACATCAAGATGAGCCAAACAAAGGAGTATTGTGTCTTTGTGAGGGACCACTGTTTACACGTAGCTTTAGATGCTAAAACTGTGACCATTCTTTTCTGATTCATAATTTCTCAGCGTCTATTGAGTGAGGTCTTCCATATATCCCTGCGCGGACTGTTACATTGGTGCTTTTGAGACTGGGTTGCGATCAGAAATGCTTCATGTGCATAATCCCAAATATTCCAAAGAAAAAGCAACAAGATGAAAAACAAAACAAGTAGCAGACCACGAAGACATCACACGGCCGCGGCTCCTGGAAGCGTTAGTTAACTTTAGATCTTCACCAACAAAAATCACTTGGAAGAATACGCGTGGTGAAGGCGGACTTTTGAGTCTTTTTTTTTTAGATTGGGATGAGTCTCTGTTTTTGTTTGTGGTTCTTTTAGTAGGGAGTGAAGCGACTGTACCCTCCTCTGTAAAGGCTAGCCTGCAACATCAAAGATGAAAAAGCACCAATCAGTATTCAGCTTAGAGCGTACCGACTCTCCCCAAACGTCCTTCCTCTTTCGGGGTTTAACCAGGTCAGAGATAGATTAAACCGTGTGTGTGTTTGGGTTGTCGGAGTTAAAGCTGTGTCTCTTTTTGTCTGAAGACTGGAGTTCAGAAGTGAGGAGAATGTCTGGTTTTCGATTAGCTCGCCGCGGACACTTGCTAACTTTTTGTAGATATAAGTTTGCAAAAAGGAAGTTGTACCAAAGTAAATGCAGATTCTGTTAATTTGGGAATCTTGTCGAAACGATTGGTCTTTTCCCACAAGGGTAAAAACGAACGCTGCCTTTAATTTGATTCCGTTTAGATGAATCGGTGAGTCTTTTTGATGAATGACTTGTTTTGTTATTTCATTTGATGCACTTTTCGTGGTAATTGTGTGAAGCTGTTTGACTTTTTGCCTTCACCAAAAAGTAAATTACTGCTTTTAATTAATAACATTGTTTTTCTGTATCGGAAAAACTATTACTGCTACTACAATTATGAATACTTCTGCTGCTACTACTGGTATTACCACTACTACTACTACTACTACTACTGCTACTGCTGCTGCTACTACTGCTACTGCTGCTACTACTACTACTACTACTACTTCTGCTGCTACTACTGGTATTACCACTACTACTACTACTACTGCTACTGCTGCTGCTACTACTGCTACTACTACTACTACTACTACTACTACTACTGTACTGCTACTACTAGTGCTACTACTGCTACTACTACTACTACTGCTACTACTACTACTGCTACTAGTACTACTACTACTGCTGCTGCTACTACTGCTGCTACTACTGCTACTACTACTGCTACTACTACTACTACTGCTACTGCTACTACTACTACTGCTACTGCTACTACTACTACTGCTACTACTAGTGCTACTGCTACTACTGCTACTACTGCTACTGCTACTGCTACTACTGCTACTACTACTACTACTGCTACTGCTACTACTACTACTGCTACTACTGCTACTCCTGCTACTAGAGATTTTCCATATACCGTCAATATTTTTATTTATTTTTTTAAGGCAAAATAGTGGCAAATGCGCTATAAGCAAATTACACTGAGATATATTTGAGTGTTGGTAGTAACTGAGTAACATGTGTGTACTTTTGCGGCTGTTGTCGCTCCTTACACACATATTTAATCTAATTTTCCTCTGTATTCATCATGGCTGCATTCTGAACAGCTCTCCTTCCCTTCTCCCACTGCTCTCGCACTCGCCACCTCGCAGAGCCGACTGGGGCCAAGTCAAATCACCTCCTTTTCAAAGCCTTTTCACCGACGAGGCCAAACCAGGGCAGGTTTTAGCGCCATGCTCGTATCATAACTAGGGCAGTCTCACACACACACATATATATATATAGAGAAATGGATATCAAAGCATGCGATTCGGCCTAGGCATGCACACCTGCACATGCACACAGTTAGAATCATCCCTACAGAAAGTCTTCAAAGGCTAATGCTGCCTAATTTCTGGGAGCTGGCCCTTGTGAAAACTTTTCATCTGCAAAAAAGTAAAAACTGAGAACTTCTCTGCCTCAACCTCAGAGGAACTAATTATTGTATAGCTTTTAAATGTA